ACGTTAGTCGCCTAGATCCAGGCCCGTAATGAAACAAATTGTAAGTTCAAATTTACAAAGACGATTTGCGAGCTCAATTGTCACTGGATTGAAAAATAGTATAACACTTTTTTGTTGTATTTTGTGTCAGGAAGCCATGGCTGTTTTTTAATTATTATAAATGGGACACCCTGTATAAATAGTAGTATCGTGAAATTTACATAAAATATTCATATTCTAGTTATGACCAAGAAGGTACATAGCTTGCAGCTTTACAATTACCCCTGAAGAAGCCCCAAATAAATGTATCTTTATTATCTAAAACTGTTCAGATTAATTGTATTTTTTTGAGTATATTAGAAGTTAGATTAGATTATGGTAGAACAAGGTAAGGCTAATTATGATTGAGTTAGGTGACATTTGTTTCTTTTTGCAATTTTCGAGTTTTCATTTCAGCACTTGAACCCTACCGTCCTCACTTAAAACTACTTTTTTAAGATGAGATTACAGGTAGTATATCGCTATCTAGCGACATTTGTTACTAACAGTAGTATTTCAAGTCTATCTACTTGACAAACTGAATTTATGATTTCTACAGTGCCTTCGTAAATGATCGAGATTCACGTGACCTAACTTTTAGTAACTGATAGTGTATTAGTTAATTTCGAATTGGCGCTCTGAATCTGGCTACTTGTTTGTTAATATTTTGGCATTTCACAAAATAACCAGTACTTGCAATTTTTTCTAATTTTATAACCGTCTGTCACAAATCGTCTGGGGATGTTTGATTTGTGCATCTTGTATTGTTGGTTGGAACTGTGGTGTGGCGTTAAGTTAAACATGCTTAATTAGGATAAACAAAAACAAAAATACTTGGTTTTATTTGTTCCACAATTTTATTAAGAATCTTTTATTCAATGATTCTCCGAATCAAAAACTTTTAATGAAATTGTGGAACAAATAGCAGTAGTTTGTCATATTCTATTACATGCAACAATCAAAGGTTAGCATCACCTTTTGAAAAATTTCTAGAAATATCTTCAACTTCATCTTTTCATATGAATAATTATAATGATAAAGTATTATACAAGCCTAAAAATGTAAATTAATAATTTTCAGAAATGTTACGCTTTGTTCAAATTATTTTGAGAATTCGGTTAGTTTGGGACAGTTATCAGAGAAAAGTACCTAACGTGATTGAAAAAAGTATATATTCCACGCGTTTATCAAATTACAAATTATGCATTTTCGTTCACCCTACATAAAATTAAAAAATTCCGACAAAGAAATGTGTTATTTCTGCTTGGTGAACTTCTACTTTTCTGGTAAATTTGACAGTTTGAAAAATAATACAGTGTGTTATCTTCATCTTCTAAGAGAAAGGAATGTAGAGGCAGGTATCCCGATAATGGTATAAAATTATCTAAAAGATGTTTGTTCATTTTATGAAGTAGTCTATTCTGAGAACAATATGTATAAGGCTTTGTGTTGTCAATTATTTTACTACGGAAGATCTATTAACTTTTATTTGGGTATTTGAGCAAGAGAAGGCACACAAGAAAGTAGTGTATGAATTGTTATTTAAAAATATTCCTTATCAAAATGATAAATGAAGAGTAGTGATAAGGCTCCTTATTGGCCCCAACAACTGGCTTTTTCTTCATGCGGGAAAATCTAAGAGAAACACTCTAACAAACTTCAACAACAGCACGGCCTCTTTACTTTAGATTAATAACGTTAAAGTTAATTTTCTTTAGTGATCTGGGGGTTAATTTCTTCAGAATCCTCTGATGTTGTATTTTCTATGTCAGATTCACTTGAACTATTTGAAGAACTAATTTCGTCATTTTCCTTTTGTACATTTTCAAGATCATTAACACTTTTTGAGAAAGCTGGAGAATATTTTTGACTGAAGTTAGGAATTCCCGAGTTCCTTGGATGATTTTGTTTCGAAAATAAATTAAGTGCACTTAAAGATTGAGAAGTTTTAAAAATTGTTTGTCTTGTGCTAGAGATGCTACTGGCAGATTCTTGAAGAAACTTTTTAAACTCCTAAAAGAACAGTTATTTAGTTTTAAAAAAACTTATTATTAATATTTTAAACAAGTTGAATGCACTTTTATAGAAATATAAGTATTTATAAAATAAACAATTTATCAAAGGAAATATTTCCAATATTTCTACATGCAATATTTTGAAAACCAATAGTTACCTCCATATCTTTAAGTTCATTAATATTATTTATATCATTATAAGCAATTGTGAGCTGTTCAAGTGCCTTTGCATGATATCCAATCTCAAAATTTATAAAATTTAACAAAATCGATTTTAAATTATAAAGTTTTTTTTGCTCAAATGTTACCATTTGTTCTTCTAATTTTTGAACTGTATGTGATACTTCTGAACTTGCTTTGGCTAGTTCAGTTTCTGCCTGTATCTAGAAAGAAATGTTTTTATTATGCCATTTGATCTATTGAAGTTATCTAATAAAACTGAAGTGAAAACAACTTACAATTTGTTGACGATTTTTAGGATTTTTCTCTTTAATTCTTTCAAGTTGTTTTTTTCTTAAAACTTCTTTTTCTCTTGAGGCAAAAATCTCTTTCACATCTTCCTTACAATGTTTACAAATTAACTCATATTGCGATAATTCATTAGTAACGTTTTTGTCTATATTAAGAACTCGCAAGTTACAGTAATCACTTATCTTCAAAACACATTTGGAAAAACTAAATAATGCCTCCTGAAGGGATTTATTGACGTCTTCACCTTCAGCATAGTGGTTTACGACTGTTGATAATGTATCTCCCGCATTTCTGATTTTAGCTGCTTTTCGAGAATACTCTGCAAAGGCATTGCATAATTCTGCAAATTGCCTTTCTACCTTGCTGATGCGGTTCTGTATAAATTTTGTTTGTAATTCGCTGAAGGAAATAATAAATATATTTTTTAAATATTTAACATTTTAATCCATATAAACTGAAATATATTCTTACCAATCATAATTTTTATTACGTTTTGAGTTAAGCATTATTTCAATATCTGTTCACATGTCATCAAAATCTCAATACAAACAAAAATGTAATATCTTTAATGAGGAATGATTCATAATTAAAAAACTCTCTTCCATTTCCTTTATAGGAACTAACGTTCAAAAACATCTTTGAAAAATTAATAAAAATTAAAAAAGTTCACTAAAAGATATTATTTCTTGTAAATAATGAACATCGTCAGATGGAGATTTTTTATTTTAATAATTTTTTAACATTGATTTACTTCATAGAATCACTGAAAACTTACTAAACAAATAATGAAAAAGAAATATTTGAAAACTGTCACATACTTAGTTTGCATGAGTTGGTTCTGAAAAGTGAATGGAATGAAGATACCTATCAACACAAAGGATGTGCCCCAGCAGATAGAACTATAGGATGCCAATGAAAAAGATACCAGTCATACCTTAAGCTAAGAAAAGGCAAGGAGATGAGAAAACAACAAGTCAAGGAACAAAGAAAAAATAAAGGAACCACAATTTATTATAAAGATAAAAATAATTAGAAACAATAATGTTACCAAAATGTTTAATTACAAAAAATATGGATTACATGATTCAGTTATTAACTTACAAAATATATATATTTTTTTGTTTTGAATTAAATTTTTGAAGAATTTTCTACTCAATTACAGCAAAAGAATGTCCTGTACCAGCAGCAGCATATTTAACCTTGAACTTAGTAAGGATTTGTTTTGGTTTAAGAACGTCTTTTGTATTACCAGTTCCACAGCTACCATGTTCATTCCAGCCCCAGGAGAAAAGCTTCCCATCTTTAGTAACTGCCAAATTATGTTCGGATCCCATGCTAACTTGGGCAATATCTTTCAAAGCTGATAGTTTCTCTGGCTGATAAAGCTCATTTCTTTGCATACCCAACTGACCATATGAATTTCTTCCCCATAATAATAAATCGCCAGTTTTTGTAAGCAGACCACTATGGGTCCAACCAGCATGAATGGATTTGATAGACTCATCATGCAATATTTCAGCAGGTTTAGATACTTTTGTCAATTTCATATCAAGACCTACTTGGCCATACTTGTTATCTCCCCAGCCAAACAGTGTTCCATCAGATTTCAGAGCTAGCGTATGGTGTTGACCAGTTACAACAGATGCAATTGATTCAAGTTCAGGAACTTTATAAACACTTATATAATTATCTTCTGTGTGGTTATCTCCTAAACCTAACTGACCCTTACTTCCTGATCCAGCAACTACGACACAGTCTTCTTTAGTGGTCACAGCCATGTGCCTTAGACCACAGCTAACCATCTTAAAGCCTGTGGCCAATTTTTGAGAAACTTGTAAACGAGTCGGTATGCTTGTGCAAGTTATACTTTTGCCAAGTCCTAATTGTGTGTAAGTATTGTTTCCCCACACAAAAAGTTTACCACATTCTGTAATAGCGGCACTATAATCCCACCCACACGATATCTGACTGACTTTAAACCCCCTTAGAATATCAATTAGTTCAAAATGAAGGGTATCATCTGAGCCTCCTAATTGGCCTTTGCAATTCCAACCACAACTGAAAACGTGACCTGTGTTATCTAAAATTAACGTGTGGCCTGCTCCTCCAGCTATTTGTATAATATTTTCCACCTTAAGTTCGGTTTTGTCCAAACAGACTTCTTTTGGCTCTACTTCCTGTTCCGACTTAAAACCTAGTCCCAGCTGACCGTAGCTATTTGCACCCTAATAATGTAGAAAATCTAGCTATTTGTATAATTTTAAAGTAAAAAAGTAAACATACCCATGCGATTAGCTTCATTATGAGTTCGTAGGTCTTAAGTTTAACAATAATTACTGCTTATTTAATATTTTCTACGAAGCACAAAGAAAGTAGGGTTATATTCGCTCAATGATCACATATCAGATAAAAATTAAAAATGGTCGCCCGAAAGTCGAAACCCGAACGCAGCAACATTTGGGGTGATTCATTTGATAAATTGAAATTAAAGCAAAGGATCACAAAGGATGGTGACCGATGATAACCAAACTAACGTATGTTGGTACCACTGAAGTTTTAAAATCAATTCAAAATAAAGGAAACTTTTTGTTTCCATAAAAGGAATTAAAAGAAGAAAACCGTACGTAAATTAATATGTTTAACTGATAACAATTTATTTATTTTTTATTAAAACGTACGAATAACACAAAAGAATTGTTAACGAAAATTAACCAATTAACCTATAAATTTTGTTGTAGAGGAAAATACGATATACATATGTAGTACAAAGATATAGTAGAAAACGGCAAGTAATAATGGAAATAAGCAGCAGAAATTATGATGTACGAAGCATTAAGTTAGATTTATTAAAAGGAATTAGAGAATGTTCACAAAGAGGGCTTTACCACAGCGTTAAATGGTTAAGTGAATTAAATTTTTCGATTTCCAAAATTACAATAATTGAAGAAGTACCTATAGATTACTTTAATTGTGGGGACGAACTTGAAAATTATTTGTTAGCCAAGTCATATTTCGATCTAAAAGAATATGACAGGTGTGCATTTTTCACCGAGAATTGTTGTTCACCTAAGTCACAATTCCTTAATTTTTATTCTCGGTATTTAGCAATTGAAAAAAGGAAATTAGATAATATGACGGACGTTAACTGCCCTCCAGACCCCACGAAAAATAGCGCATTAAGGGATCTAGCTGCTGAGTTGAAAGAGAAGTACACTAACAAAAGGCTGGATGGATATTGTTTATATTTATATGGTGTAATTTTGAAAAAATTAGATTTAAATTCTCTTGCAATAGACGTTTTTGTGGAGGCAGTTAATGTTGAGCCACTTCATTGGGGTGCCTGGCAAGAGTTAGCCTTTTTAGTCCCTAATAAACACAAATTGAATTCTCTACTTCTTCCTGATCATTGGATAAAGTTATTTTTCTTAGCACATGCTTATTTGGAACAGTTAAACAATGAAGAAGCCTTGCAGTTGTATTACAATTTACATTCTCAGGGATTTGAAAAAAGCACATATATAATGGCTCAAATGGCTATTGCATATCACAATCGTAGAGGTAAAAGCTCATTGAATTAGCAAAAATTTAGCTGTAATTTCTTCCATTTCTTTTTTAGAATTAGATAAGGCTATTACAACATTCAAAGACTTACTAGCATTAGATCCTTTTCGTTTAGATAACTTAGACACTTATTCTAATTTATTATATGTGAAAGAAATGACTACTGAACTGGCAGATCTTGCTCATAAGGCAGTTGACATAGATAAATATCGTGTGGAAACATGTTGTGTAATAGGTGAGATAGTTTTATTTTTTATTTATTGTTAGTCTTTGTTTCATATAATTTTCTATTAGGAAATTACTACAGTTTAAGATCAGAACATGCAAAAGCAGTGTTATATTTTCAAAGAGCTCTGAAACTTAATCCCCAGTATCTTTCTGCATGGACTTTGATGGGCCATGAGTATATGGAAATGAAAAATACCAATGCAGCAATACAAAGTTACAGACAAGCAATAGGTAACATGTGTAAATCTGATTGAATTAATGATGAACTTATATCAGAAAAGCGAAGAAGACACAAACATTGTGGTTCTTAAATTTGATTTTTCAAATCATTCAAATTCAAGTATTTCCTTCATACATGAAAGTATTTATTTAGATTTACTATACTGTTAAATATTTTACATCAAGAAATTTTTACAGATTTATTTAAGTAGACCTTAGTTGTTGTAAGTTTAATCACTTTCACAATTAGAACAAAAATTTGCTTAAGAATAAAATGTTGTACTGCAACCTACTGTAAACTACAAATGAATTTGATTCAAAAATTATTTATTTTTCTACAGACATTGTTAATGTACATCACTAAGGTCTCCTTACAATCTTTGTTTAAATTTTCATGGTGGTAACCTGTGTGCCAACTTAAACTTACAAAGGAGATTAATGTCTCTGCAGATAGGAAATCCTTCTTATTATAGTATTATCAGACTATTTAAATATTAAGGATGGTCTCTATTGGATTTGAAGGTGGATCATTTACAAAAAAATAGGAATGTACACCCAGACCATTAGATAAAGAGAGGTGCCAATTTGGGAACATTTGGCTGCAATTCTGCTTTACTGTGTCTTGAAATTCTCACACTTAGAGCAAATTTAATAACTAGTGACGTAAAAACTAGGGAAACACTTTGAATTATCTACAAATTTAAGAAGTGCAACACATCTTCATGTAGTATGTACAAAAGGATGATTCGATTTGAATGTTCCATCTTCATCTTAGTCAGAGAAGTCAGGAAGAATGACCGATATGGCCGTAATAAGAAGGATCTCCTTTAATTATTATTATTATTTAATATTCCAATATATGCTTAATTTTATCTAAGAGGTTAATCGACGTGACTACAGAGCTTGGTATGGACTTGGACAAACGTATGAAATTCTCAAAATGCCATTTTATTGCATTTATTATTACAAACAAGCTCAGCAGATGCGTCCAAACGATAGTCGAATGATAATAGCTTTGGGTGAAACATATGAAAAGTTGGAGAAATTTGAAAATGCTCTAAAATGCTATTATAAAGCTTGCAGTGTTGGTGATATAGAAGGAATGGCGCTTATAAAGTTGGCCAAGTATTATAGTGCTAACTTATTTGTGTTATTTTATTTACACTTAATAATTTGAAGATTATATGATAAATTAAACGAACATGACAATGCTGCTGCAGCTTATACAGAATACTGCTTAAAGGAGGCAGAACAACAACGTACTTCTTATGAAGATAAAAATGAGTATTATATGGCCTTGCAATACTTAGCAAATTATCACTTAGAAAAGGGACAATTAGAAGATGCTTCTACTTGTGCCTACAAATGTTTGGAACATGACGAAGTATGTTTCTAAATTAAAATTATTGTTTTAATCTATATTAATTAAATTCTACATCTTGTATTGTAGACTAAGGAGCAAGGAAAAGCTTTATTGAAAGCTATAGCAGCTAAAAGAGGTAAACAAGAAATGGAACCAGTGCCAATGGATGAAACTGGAAATATTTCAAATATATCAGTTGACAGTAGTGTAAGCAATATGGATATGGTATTTTCTCCAAATACTTAATAAAGTTTGTGCAGATTTGTATGTAATTAATAAATAATTATTTCTTTAGTGTTGATTAATTTGAGTATATCTTGTCCTTTTTCTTTGAATGAAATCGTGCATGGTACATACAACATATGAATGTATTTTGCGAAATTTGACTCGACAAATGGTTCATTAATGTTATTTTTTTTTTTTGAAGACAAAACGAATTAAAAATAAACGAGTCTATATTTTTTTAATGTGTATGAAATATATATACTTTCTTAAACATTTTGTAAGTAGACGATCCTTGGTTTTTGAATAAACTTTTTTAAATTTATTTTCAATATTTAGGTACCTACTTATTTTAATGCAAATGTGGAGTTTTATGTTGTATTTACCAAATACATAAAATTGATTTTTTTATGGTTTAAAAACGGAATATGTCACAAATTAATTGTAAATTGAAAACGTAAATATTTGTCTTTAACGGTCCTTATATAGGATCATTGAATGATAAATAAGTGGATCAAGTGAAATCTAAAATATTACCTATCAACTGCAAGATTTTATTATTATGTTTTGGATAAAATCGAAGTAGAGGTCTATGTACATGCAAGATTGTAACAATACAGTTTTTATGCATTTTATTTATTTCATTACTCATTTTAAAAAATTCTGAAGCGTTTATTTGGTATCAATTTGTACCACAAAACAAAAATAATAAGGCAGTACAGTGTGTCTCATGAATAGGGTATGAAATGTCGAGCGTCAGCGACACCTAAGTTTACCCCACGTAAGTTTTTTAATTTTTTAATTGCCAAAATCGGCATTACTGACATACTTGGCGACATACATTTTAGTGAAATGATAACAGATGATGCGACGGCCGTTGCAATTACCTGCGGAATTCCCCACTAGTTATAGGCAGCGTACAGTGAGTAGTTTCACAACTTCTAATATTTTAAAATTTTTATGAGAAGTACTTTTACCTATCCTGAAAGTAAGTAATATATTAAGTAAGCAATCATGCTTTACAATAAGTAATTATTTTCTGAAATAGTGCTGGTTAGAAAGGAAAGAGTGTTTTCTGTTCAACACAGAAAAACCGTGCTGTACAGTCTACACCATTATGGGGTCAAATTAATTTGAAATGTTCTACCTAGATTATACAGTTCCTACAGGAGTTAAAGGTCAAGATGCAGCTTTCCATTTTCCTGAAGTAACAGCGGTTCCAACGAAAGTGGCAGGTATTGTAATTTGTTGTTGTTGTGAAACTTAAATTCTAAAAAAAATGTTTTGTAGAACTCCTTCAGATAAAGGAATGGAGACAGACGGAATTGCCCCATTAAAAGATGAAAAAGTACTGCATCCAGTGAAAACATATGAGGGGAAAAGAAGAATTGTTTGAACTGCAGGTAGTTATGCAGATAACAGTTTCAAATATCCAAAACTTATTTAATTATTTGTTATAGAAAGTACACTCACAACGGACAAAGCTAGTATATCTGCAGTTTCTGAAACGTTATCACTCCCTGTAGAAGCAGGAAGCAGTACTAAATTAGGTAAAGAACAATTTCTTTGTTCATACAAATATACCTGTCTTAGTATCTATATTTTAATTAATTGATGTTTGCTATTTACTCGTATATTGTGCTAATTGTATTTATTACTGCAGTTATACTTTGTTATTAAATTTGTTAATTTTATTTTTGTTTTTTTTTTTTAATTTCCAATTAAAACAAAAAAAAAATTGTTATTTTGAAATGCGCGCCTTAAGTTACGCTTCATAGTTTTACGTATAGATGGCAGCGAAATTCGAAGTTTTCTTTGCCAGTACCATTTATATATATATTTCAAGTATCGTCTATTAATATGGGGTAAACTTGGATGTCACTAGTATCGTCAAAATTTCGCGAGTTTTACATCTATTTCCTAGTCTAGGCTCATGAAGGTAACAGGTTAGAGAAAAAGAAAACGATCGCTACGTTACAGCATAAACTATGTAGGTTTATACTGTGGCTACGTGCTGAAGTATTAGCCCCCTTGTCGCTGTAAATTTGTAGATTTTATAATTTATTTTTCAGCCACCATCTGCGCTTGCGTCAGTAAGTAGTATCTGCGAAGTTAGGTGTTTATGGTGTTTGTAATTGTGTTTATAGTATTTTTTTGTATATAAATTTGAAAATTAGATTAAAAACTAACAAACAAATTACTTTAAGAACTTTCTAAGTAATCGTTCACAACCAAATGTTGATGTATATGTTTTTCTTAATAGTAATAGTAGAGTATTATTCATCTTACCAAAAAAATAACAATTTTCTTTTTTTTTTTTAATGAAAAATATTACATAAACTTATATAAAACGTTGATAGATCATTTTAAATTAGCGCACAACAGCCTGGTTTTTATTGAGATAACTTAGCGATCGCAGCGCCTCATTTATTTTCTCCATATTTCTGGGACACTTTTTCTACAGCGATCGTTCTCTCTAATCTCCATGGTGTGCCTACTGGATATTCGTAATAACTACTTTAATTTAATTTGAAGAACGGTTGAAAACATAATTTCAATGTTATTTGTATTTTTTATTTAAAAAAGAAAAAATGATAGGTTGATAGGTATCTACTTAAACATCAAACATGATTGCAATTGAAATGTAAAATTATGAATTGCAGAGTACTTACGCCATTTTATTAGATGTAATATGTAAATTGTTTTTAATAAATGTCAGGTATATTTGAGCAACTGTCTTACTGTAGTAATGAAAATACCTAATGAAACTAGCAAAAATTGTAAACCAAAATGCAGGTATGTTTTAGTTTAAAATCTTACATAAAAAATAAAACGTATGATAAAAGTGCAGAAAACTGTCTTGTTTACAGGATTTCAATTACTTGACTGATAATAATGTAATAGGGTACCACGTGCATTGTCCGCAAGGTTTAAGACCTATTATGAAAAGGTCTGAAGTTTTACCGACTCCAAATATCGTAAGGCTACCTTAGAACATATTATTGATTACTAAACACGTGATTTTTTCTTGGTTAGGAAAATGTGCCGGCTGAGTTATTAGTGAATACGCTATCCTGTGAAGACGTGCGAATGTATACTTTTGCTAATAAAAACCTTAATTCTCCTCAATATTGTTGGGACTCGTATGTTGATTTATTTCGTAATAACGAACGTGATTGGAAAGCAGCACTTCAGCAACCGTAAGTTTACAAAAACATTTTGGTATTTACCATATGTATATTATTTTCATTACTTATACAAATTGCCTTTACAATATGGATTCTGTTTTAAAATCCCTAACAGCAGTAAATGTTAATTCTTATAGGGGTAGGTATATTACTTAATATTACCTTCATGCTTTGGTACGTTAGGTTAGGTTTGGTAAAAGTTAATTTTGAGAATAAAACATTGAATATAGAAATAATTGTTATCGATGCCATCAGTGTTGGATTTGTTAATAGGCTACATAGGCCGCGAAATAGTGTCGATAGGGTTGGCAGGTGTAGTTACAGGAAAAAATTTCACGCTTCCACTAATAAGACTACGTAGAAATACGAAAATCCGAATTCTCTGTGTTTGTGAGGATGAGAACCAATCTTTGTAGGTACTACATTTAACCGAACTGGAATTTAGCTTTTCGTATCCCGGAAAAATGAGCGTTCCTTCTTTAAAATAAGTGAAGAATTAAATGCTTTTCCTTATCTTAAGAAAAATTTAATAACTCATTGACTCTTTTTTTATAAGAGGCAGAGATACGAATACCATAAACTATTACGGTATTATTATTACTTCGACAATAGTTCCTTAAATTTTTTAATTAATTTTTCGCATTTAAATCATTTTTTGCAAACAAAAGTTTTGAATATAGATCACAAAAAAGGTGAGTGTGGTATTTTTTAAGACCCCCTCCTCCCCTGAAACGTAATATGGGTACGTTTCCTAATCCTTGCTCTAATTCTCCCCTTTCCTCTCCTTTCTCATTTCGTTTCGTAATGGGTGCAATGTAAACGTTCTACAGGTTCGAATTCAGAAAAAAGAGATTTTGAAATTTCTAACGATTAAAAAATACATTTTTACCTATTACAATTTCTAATTAACATTAAAGTGCGTGGAGTCACATTGTTAAACAACGGAAATTTATTTATAGAATGACAGAATTATTCTGCAATGCTACGTAAAATTCTTGGTGAGTTTCTTGTACATTAATTCTTTATAAAGGCTATGTTACACGGCGCGTATAGCGTGGATCGGTATTCCACGCACCCGACGCCGTCGCGTCGTGAAAATAAGCTAAAGAACCTGCTAGGACGCGCTTGTTCTCTCCAGACTGCGCTGAATTTGTTTAACGGCGCGTGAGGCGTGGATCGACATTCCACGCGCCCATCGTCGCCTTAAAAAAAACCTAAAGAACCCGAACCTGTCCGTTCCACACCGTGGCAAACTCGTTATAAGGAACGTGTATTGGTAATCCACGCGCCGTGTAAAATGGGCTTGAGTGTCTAGCTCTTGTATTAATAAATAATTAATTAATTATAATTTGTTATCAGAGATGTGATTTATTTGAAATACTTGCATTTAAAATGCAAATACAAAATAAAAAATACCTATTTTTACTTTGCATTTAAATACTTTTTTTCGAAACGTATTTTCTATTTGTAAAATGCAAAATAAATTTTTGCCGTTAAAAGTTTTGCTAGTATCACCGATCAAAAATTATATAAACTGATGAATTAAAGTTACTCACATTGACCATTAAAGGTATTAGAAGCTTAAAAAGTGGACAAAGAGACATTCCACGAATGCCTTATAATTCTTTAACTGAAGAGACCAAAAAACTACAAATTCCTTGGAAATGGACAAACTAAAATATTGGATCGATATTGTTTTCCGCGTTTAGTGTTATGGTCCATATAATTTTGAAGTTCCAAATTGATAGCACCTACCAAATACCAAATCACCACTTATCGTACTTTTAGCAAGGAACTACGAAATTCTATGAGTTACGACAAAACAGACCACAAAACAATATCGAATTGATATACGCCAGCTGTGAAACTGATATAATATAAGATATTGTGGTGTGCTAATAAATGCATATAATCCAAAATTCTTAGAAAACGATTTGGAAAACTTCACTTATTAGATGAACCCAAAGTTAAAGAAATTTTTCTCTTATTACAATGTGTAAAAGATCAGAAACAAAATAGGGTTGTAAATGTTTTAATATAAAATGATTGATGTTGATTTTACATCAATAAAATTATTTCCAACACTATTTTGGCCCTAACTTTCACGCTATTTTGACATCAGTGTTTTTTTCCAATCAAAACGGGTGACAAAGTCAAATAAGAAAGCATATAGAAGAATAATTTGTCGCTGAACTGAACAAACTATAACATAAAGATAGAAAAACTATACCTTCATCACTTCAAACAGAAAAATATGAATNTTTTGAAGTTCCCAATTGATATCAGCACCTGCCAAAAGTTCAAATTGATATCAACAGGTGTTGCTTTGGCAGGTGCCAAATCACCACTTATCGTACTTTTAGCAAGGAACTAAAAAATTCTATGAATAGACAAAATAGCCCGCAAAATAATATCATACTGATAGCTGTGTAAAACTGAAAACTACTTCGATATTGTGGTGTGCTAATGAAGGCGTATAATCCAAAATTCTTAGAAAACGATTCGAAAAAACATTTTATAGTTAAGTGAATGTAGAAAATTATACAGGTACTACAAAAAAGTATTTATTTAAAAAAAGTATTTTGAAAATACGTATTTTACATTTAGCATTTAGCATTTAAGATACAAAAAGGAAATCTATTTTGTATTTTACATTTGAAATAACAAATCAAACATTTCTAGTCGTTATGTTAATCCTTATACATACATATGTTGGACATAGTTCTGAAATTTCCGGTTCTTAGGGATGTTTGGCAGGTATATCAAAATGCTAGGAGACAAATAAAAATTTGGAAGAACATTCCTCATTCAATTCTAAAACTCCTGTAAAAATTACAAATCGATTCACTAAACCGTTAGAAAGTTATTGAAATTTTAAAAAATTGTAACTTTACACGTCATTTTATGGAGATTCGTTAACCAAACAGATTAAATTTATTTTTATTAACAGAAAAAAAGCTACCAGAAATTTCAAAGTTTTATAATAGGTAACTTGAACTCTGGAGAATCACTTTAGCGTAAGGTTATTCAAATTCACTAAATGGTTATCGAGGAAAAAATGAAAAATTAGCTGAAAATCTCGTTTTTACTTGATAATATAATGATAATATTTATAATTGTCTGAAATAAATGCAATTTTAAAGTTTTAATTATTATTTAAACATATTAAAAAGTTTTACGCTCATTATTAATAGAGATTGAAACTAAATATTTTTTTGTTTCGAAGTTGAAATCAAGGCATATTCACTGCCAAAAGTCAGTTAAAAATTTTCCATATTATTCGTTATTTCTTATTTTA